CAACTGCATAGCTGGAATACCTAACCTGCACAGAACCATGGCAAGTTCAGGGCTGGAGATTATGTTTATATTCAGGGTCTGTGAAGTATGCGTTAAGTATGATACTGATACACTGCAGGTGTGTCTTCTGCCATGGGTATCGTCTGAGGAGATGAGAAGCTAGAACAGAGCTACTTTAAGACATATTCAACACGGGTTGCTTATAGAGTTAGTCTGCAGTAGTTAAAGGGTTAAAAATAAAAACAAAATCAAAGCAGCAGAGGCTGAGATATCCAGACTCTGTAATATGTGTTAAGGTTTACAAACCCTGCATATAACATTTCCCACGATGCAACCAATAGCATCTTTTCATGAGACCCTCTGAAATAGACACCCGTGCCTTTCAAATGCCATATTATTTCTATATTCTATAATCATTCTGATCGCCCACACAAACACAGGTGCGTATTCTGTTTGAGTGTTGGTAGGATAAGCTATATGACCAGATGCAAAGTGGAACTGACTTGCAGTGATCTTATCGGCATTGAGTCAATCTTTTTTTCTCATCTCTACATTCATACAGACTAATAATGATAAACTTTCTTGTTGCTGTGATAAATACATGCACAATGGTGTTAATTCTATTTGATATAAACTGTTACTTATGAGCTGTGGTCAAACCCGCGGCTTATATGACAGTTTGTAAGCAAGCGCTGTCCTGTATCGTCAAGAAAAACGTCGAGAAAAATGTCCTGGAATGGTCCTGGAAAATAATTTGTGCAAAAGAGTGGGATCCTTGAAAATGTGCGCATGGGGCTGCAGCAAGAGTGTTCTTTCGACTTTCCAAGCCTAAAAATAGAAGAATAGCTTACTCCTTGCAGTAGTAACCTAACCTACTGTCACTTCCAAAGCCAAGTAGAATTTCATTCTACCTTATTATACTACACTGCAGACTATGCTAAAAATAGTACATTAATTATTTCCACACTGTCGAAGCCAAGATGCTACTATATGTGAGCGTAGGGTCACGTTAATGGCTTATTTGAAAACCTAAGGAAGAAATGGATCTTTTTCCTAAGATAAAGTGGAATTAGAGGAAAAACTGGTGGAAGATAAATGAGTTCTTAATGCCTACATTGATTAGTTGCAAATTGGTCCATGAATGTTAAAACCGTTTAAACAGCAGCCTTATGTTAAATATCCTCTCAAATCTTGGCATCATAATACATTCCTGTCTCCTGCCCTCACAGCTGACCTCTGACGTTTGTTCAGTGAATCATTAGCCAAACCAGCTGCATATCTGTACACTCTCTGGCTGCACCATACCTCAGTCATGCTTCATGTATTCACAGAGCACAAAGTCGCAGGTGGAATTTAAGTTTCAGTATATGTACTACATTATGCAAAGCCCCACCCACCAGCAGACGCCAAATAACCTCTCCAGTGTCTTATAGGCTGTAACCATTAGACCTTAACCTCAGGTAGCTTCAGCCATTAGCCCAGCAGCTCTTTCAGTGGCTCATGTTGAGATGTTTCTGGTAGTCTGGTGAACAAAGTGCCTCCCTGACCAAAAGGTTGACAATAATGATCAGCTCACATTGTTCTATTGTTGCCTGTTCACTTTAACTGACCACAATCACCCAGTCTGTGCTGTCCAGTGTGTGATTATGGCACTATTGCTTTAACGGATAGACCACTGATGGTGCTCAGATAGTCCTACAACCTGAGGTCAAACACTTGGTGTGCATGCATCAATAGGACAATGTCAGTAATAGTATCATGGTATTATTGGCCCTAAGTAGCCTTTTATTTTCCTTATTTATATGCCAGTCACAAACATTATAAACATGTATAGAATACCTACAGTAAATTATATGTAGATATATACAGATTCACATAAGTAAAGAAAAAAGAAATAAAGAAGAAAGAAGTTTTTATTTTATGATGTCCCCCGGCTTATTACTTTTAGTGACATTGGGGTAGTCGAGACTGATTTGAAAAAATGGAAAGACATTGTACTTTAACACAGGAGGAACAGTGTGTGTGTTTATATAGTGTGTGCCATGCCTATAGGCCTTTGTAGCCAATTAGACTGAGAGCTTTGCCTCTGTGCTGTAATGAGCTGTAATGTAGCTATTGTTTTTCCGGGTATTGGTTGACTCAGTGCTGCTGTTCATTAGTGCTCAGGCATCACCACTAACCAGAGATAAACCTTATAGACACATTTGCATTTGTGTTTTAAATTAAGGCCTGCTTGCAGATGTTGTCGTCACATGTGCACATACTTACACATGCTGTGGTCAGGAAACTGCATGCTTATACCACTTGCTGCCAGAATAGCACATATTTGCCATGTGTGTGTGGGGAGGGTGGGGGGGTGTCTGTTAGTGGCCCTGAGGGACTGTCCTATTCTCTTTCCTCAACTATAACTCTATTGTAAGGACTGCCCTTTCATATGCTGGAGATAGAGGGAGGGTTTGGATGAAAAGAAGTCTAGAAAGAGTGAAAAGAGATGTGGAGCGTCGCCTCCTCCTCTGCATGACTGCTCTGCAAGAACAACCCTTGTGTCAGCGATGGAGGGAGACGTGTGTGTGTGTGTGTGTGTGTGTGTGTGTGTGTGCGCGCTTTGAAACATCCACCTGTACACCCTTTTTTGCATAGTGCTCCTCTTTATGGCAGTGTTTACATGCATGGCAAGGGTAAGGCTTGCAGGAAGAACAGTTAGAACGGGAACAGAGCTCGGATGATGAAACTAGTGTTTCAGCTATTGTTGCTTTATTTCTTTTCTCATGTGGAGTTGGCCCATAAGGTCAGGGCTGGCAAAGATATAGTAAGCGTGTATACACAAGACTCGTGCCTCATGGGAACTGAAATGCGAGACTGTCGCTCTTTCTCGAGACAGTTGATCCTTTGTTTTGGTTTTAGGAACGGAGAGGGGAGTGGTAGGGTGCGTATCTGAACCTGAGAGCCGGAATCATTATCAGCCACCTGAATGGATATTTTCCCAGATTACTCACCCACATACACCCACACACTCAGAGGAAGAGAAGTGTTCAGTGTGAGACTGCCAGAGCTTTATTTTTAGAGTACTTTCATCTAAAAGCAGAGTTTACAAAGTGGGGAAGAACAGTAACAAGGTGAAAAAGTTGGGACATATTCAAAAGAAGGATGGTAAAAATAACATCAGAAACAGACAAAAACTTGAGTTTATCAGGCAAATCAAGGAGAATGACAGTCACAAAGATGTGTGATGTTAATGTTTAGCTGCTTGTATTATGCTGGTTAACTATTTAAGATCCAAGGTCCAGTTTTTCCCTCCCTTACCTGCCCTGCTCTACTGTTAATGTCAGCCATGTTGGGTTAAAGTCTATAGCAGCTTGACAGTGTACTCACTTCCTCCTCAAAATGTACATAACAAAGGGCAGGGTTTAATAATATTCTTGGTTCAGATGTGACCATTTTGGCTGTCTCTCATCTGAAACCGGTGACCAAAAATCTTTATGGGAGTAGGGAAAGCAGCTCATTTGCTTTGCTGAGAGTTTCGTGAGCAGATGATTCCAGTCTCATATTTGTCCATTAAATGTGAAGCTACAACCAGGAGATCATGAGCTTAGCTTTGTGTCCTGTATTGTGTAAAAAACGTTCCTGGAGGTTACGACAAGACTCCAGAAAGTCACTGTGCTTGGCCACAAAGTAGTACCCTGTGAAACCACCACAAAAAATAGATGTAGTGTGTTCAATAGTGAGCTTTGGAGGTGCTTTTACTTTTAGGCAAAGCCAAGTTAATGGTGTCCTCCTGCTAAGCTAACTGTCTCTGGTTGTAGCTTCATATTTAATGGACAAATATGTGACTGGTATTGGGGTTATTGGGGTTATTGGGGTACGATAATTCTTTTTTCACTTGCCCCGTCAGGCAAATTTTTACATTTTTACTTGACCCCATACAAATAATTTTATTTATTAGCGGTTATCAAACAACGAGAAAGGCATAAGTTAGGAAGTTGTCATGTTCATACACTGGTTTTGTGTGTGAGAACTGGCCTCTTCGTCTGTGTTTTGTACAAGCACCAGCAAGGCCCCGGAGGAGGGGTTGTTGGCAACTCTCTTAACTGCCATGCAAGCGAGATGCTGTCGGCTCTTGTCATGGCACTCCTGCGCTTTTTCAGAAATGTGACATGCCATTGAACTACCCGGTTTCATCCACCTTGCTCTCAAATTTTCTCAAACGTGCCCGATTGGTACTGTGCATATGCAACTCTCAGCAGAGACGAGAAGGAAGTGAGATGGCCCTCACTAGCTTAATTTCCATTATCAGCTCCAGATAAATATTTTTTTAGATTTGCTAGATTTACTTACAAGCCTTGTTGTTGAGCCCAAATATGTATTTTCCTAAATGTCAATCTAGTCCTTCAAAAGCTGTTGGTCAGGAGCACAGCTTGCCTTTTTCCCATTGTTAAGAAGTAATGTCTTCATTGATTCATTCTATCCCAGGCTGAGAATAGAGAATTCAGATCTGTGACACAAACCATATGCTCATTAAATCTATAATAAAGCATCTCTGCTAACCATAGGCACCTGCTGTCACCCACATGCCTTTGTGGGTAACAGCATGTCAGAGAGTGCTGATGAAGGACTGTATGTTGGCCCGAGTGCCCGGTTGGCTGGCGTGGCATTTTGCATCAGTACGACCTGAGGGAAGTTCCAGGGATCAACATCTGGTGTGTGTTCAGCACAGACACCCTGCAGGGATGCCTCAGGCTGAGAGCCGCTCCATGGCAAAGCATTATTCATTCTCCTGGAAGTACATGATGCAACAGAATGTCAGCCTGAATAACAACTTCATGTGTACTGAGCCCAGTTTGATGTTAATGGAAAATTAACTGGCTTTTGTTAACGTATGTCCTCCTTTGTTTCTCTCTTCCCTTTCTCTCTGTCCTCTTTTTGTCTCTACGCCACATCTTTGTCCTCTCTTCCTCTTCTGTACTTCTCTTTCTCCACTTCCTCTATCTTTTATTTTGCAGAGGAAGCTGATTACACAACATTTGGTACCGACTCCCTGACCAGGAAGAGAAACCCAGTGCTTTCGGCGGTTCTTCTGCGGCCTGACACCAACAGGAAAAAGCCGCCGGTGATCATCAGCCTCCCCAGGGACTTCCGCCCTGTCTCCTCCATCATTGATGTGGACATTCTTCCTGAGACGCATCGGCGTGTTCGCCTGTACAAGCACGGCCAGGAAAAACCGTTGGGCTTCTACATCCGCGATGGCTCCAGCGTACGGGTCACTCCACAGGGCCTGGAGAAGGTCCCGGGCATATTCATCTCCCGCATGGTGCCCGGCGGGCTGGCAGAGAGCACCGGCCTGCTGGCAGTAAATGACGAGGTGCTGGAGGTGAACGGTATCGAGGTGGCTGGAAAGTCTCTGGACCAGGTGACGGACATGATGATCGCCAACAGCCACAACCTCATCATCACTGTCAAGCCTGCCAACCAGCGGAACAATGTTGTTCGCAGTGGAGGAGGAGGCGCGGCGTCTGGTAGCTCGGGACGCTCGTCGGACAGCGGCGCCAGCTACTATGGCTTCTCATCGCAGGGTGGGGTCAGCGCCGCCGCCTCCATGCCGTCACACATCATCCAGAACTTCCCCGCCGGAGAGCTGGAGAGTGACGAGGAAGACGAGGACCTGGTGATCGAGGCGGGGGGCGAGGCTGAGCCCATCAGACGGGCCCCCTCCAACTACAGCATGCCCTCGCTGCCTCGCTATGAGCCGCACCTCAACCTCCGCACCGCCGCCACCTCCACCTCCGCTCTTTCCATCAATGCCAACGGGACCCTGCCAACCAGCGGCAGCAGCGGATCGCTGAGCAACGCCAATGCCACCTCGACCACGCCGTCGCCAGACAGAGCAATGGAGAGGCGGAGTCTGGAGGAGGATGGCACTGTTATAACTCTGTAGACTGGGCGTTCACACACTAAACACTGGAAACCAGAGAGAGACAAATACTACTACACACACTGGTGGGAGTCGTGGGTCAGAAAAGCAAACACAGGAACATCCTGTGCCATCCCACAGCGACTGTACCTGAGAAGCACAATGAAATGTGTACATATTTGATCTCAACACGACACCTAAATGTTTGTACATCTTAACATTTACACGTCAAACACTGCACCCCGTACTTTGCTCCTCTACATGCCAATGACCATGCATGTGTGCCATAGTGGTAACCCCCCTCCCCCTGCTGCAGGCACAAAAATGTCAGATGAAGAAGTGTAAAAAAAAAAAAAGTGTAATTTGGTGCCTCCCTACCCTCCACTTTATTTCTTAATCACTAGAAGCACTTGTTTTTACCCCAAAAACTGCTGAGCTTCCACTTGAGGGCATCCTCACTGTTAGTAAATTCTACCCCACATTACACACACTGAAGCAGGAATTTAGCTCAAGCATTTATTGACAATCTGTGTTTTGGTGTTTGTTTTTTTGCCTCGTCACCCAACACTCCACCTCCTGCACCACACTATGACCACCCTCCCTCCCCCCAGGTGACCACAGCATGCGATCGGTACACAGTTGCGGTACTTTCCACACAACGCAGTGCCACAACAATCGACCAAGTGCTGAGATCTGCAATAATAATGTAGTTTTTATTGAGAAGAACCGCCTAAAAAAACAAGTCTGGGTTCTTTGTGTTGGCTCAGATGCTTTTAACCACTGTTGTTAGCTGTTTTTGCCTCTCTTTACCTGCTGTGTTGATGACTGATAATGAAAGGCTGATTATTTTGATAATTCATGGGAGCAGCTTGTCTTTTTAAAACCCCTCTACCATTAGAAGCCTGTGTTTTATATTCATTTAATATTTAGTTTCTTTTGCAACACTTCTTATCTCACGAACGACTGTATGACCAGTTTCCATCTGATCGACTAGAAAGTGTGAGTCACTCCAGAAAACTGCTCCTACCTGGGAATGAGACATCTTCGAGTTAATTTCCCTCCCGTACTTCCTTCATATTGCACTCCCTCTCCTTTCCACGACAAGGGCTATTTCCCCTGCTGCATGTGTACAAATGACAAAATGTGAATGTGATTTAATTTCTTTGTTTGTTTGTTTTCTTCCTCTCCCATTTTTTCTGGACCATGACTCAATATATCTAATCTCAGTACTGTACAGTATCATCATCTCTGTTTTCTAGCCAGGCTCTGAGTTCACTTGGATGTGTCCTGAGACATTCACAGATGAAAAGTGTTCTCTCCAGTATTTCTGCCCTTTTCTTTCTTTTTGTATCTTCATTCTCACTGAATCCAATTAATGCCACACTACGAGAGAATGTAAGAGGACGGTTTTCAGAATAACTACTTAAATATCGACTATGGGCCTAAATGAATATAGCTGGACTTTACCATTATTAGCAAATATAACCTCCGATGTGAGTTGAGAGGATACATACAGTGACAACGTTGTGTGTCTTATAATAAGCCCTGGTCATATTTACACAAACACACATGCAGGTACAAACACTTTCTGTATTTGATAAAGGTGAGGCAGCTCTGTCGTATGTACAGTCTGCCTCAGCTCTGATCTGTATGTGCTATTTTCACTGAAGCTGCTTGCTTTCCTTGAAAAACCCCTAATGAAGCTGCAATGAACTTCCTTGCAGCAAAAACTTGATTGACATATTAGGTCATTAAGTCCCCCTCAGTTTAAAATAAGTTTGAATTCCTGTTCCTACAGTGTGCTGTTTGAATGCTGTCTGTGCAGTTTGACTCTAGAAGGATGTTTTCACATTCATCTGCTGAAAGTGGAAAGTTTCTCTGTGTTCATTGAACGTCTGATTTTAAGGGGCGGGGCCTACCAGCAGGATTTGTGACATCACAAATAGTCTGGAAGTCAGTCCTGGTCCAGTGTGCAACTTGTACAGTGTGATGTAGAAACTTGAAGCCTCCAGTGCACATCCACTGAGAATGGACTTTACAGTGAAGTAGGAGACATCTTAAAATTTTAAATTATCATTATTAGCATATTCATAGATTCTGGAATATTTAATGAGGTAGAAAGGAAATTATACTTTTTGTGCAAAAATCAGACACACATTATTGTTCCAAGCAGACTATTTGTATATGTCGTAATATATGTCTGAAGGGGATCTTTAAAATTCTTCAGAAGTCCTTGTATTTTGTTTTCAAAGCTGCACTCTGAAACATTTTTAAATACCTCTTTTTACAGCTCCCAAGCTCTCTGAGGCTAATTTGTGATTTTAGGCTTGATTAATACAATTGCCTTACAGAATTCTTCAGTAGTGGAGTTAATCTGAATTGAGTGAAACATTTTCAGAGTGCAGCTTTAAATAGTATTTGCAGGATTTTGCATCTAACTCCGATTAATTTGCACACAGAAATGTGTGTTTTTGATCACGTCCATTTAAAAGTTTTCCACAGAAAAGAAGTAATTGTGGCACAGCTTTAGTTCCTGTTCTTAAAGCGGATCCATACCATTTATTAGAAGAACATACCCATTAACCTTACATGCTGCTGCTAACTGCCTCCCTGAAGTGAGAGCAGACACTTTATTTCCCTTATTGATTTTCAGCATTTGGTCTCCTGTTGAAAGTGATAAGATAGACTTCAGCATGGATTTTTATCCCACTTACAGAAACATTGTTCTCACACACACACACACACACACACACACACACACACACACACACACACACACACACACACACACACACACACACACACACACACACAGGGACACTCAGTAAAATAATGTTCATTGGCTTCATCTGAACCTGTGTGCACTTACACAGTCCATTCATACAGATCACACTAATGTTCATCATTTCTAGGTCTGTCTTTGAATATCTGATGAGCCTATCAGACAGTGAATATCTATGACTGGAAACCAACACACAAGTCACGTACATGCGTCCACTATCGTATTTCAAGCTGTTTGGATAAGGTACTGTCTTTTGGCCTTTTATTGTACACCGAGTGCTGGTGGGATTCTGTCTTCTTTCGTTCCCAACGTTAAACAGTAATGAATGGTACCCTGAATGGAAGACTTTTAGAAAATCAATGTTAATTTATTTTCTTTATTTCTAACTTTACCACAGGACACTGGGATTGTAACCACAGCGACATTGTTATTTATTCTCTAATCATGCGTCTGCATATTTTCTTTCTTTGTACACATTTTATGACTTTATTTTTATAACTGATATGTTTTTGTTTATTCATGATTGTTGTTTTGGTTATAAATCTTATGGTAGATGTTATTGCCCTGTAGGAGATGATTTTTTTTTTTAAGTCTGATTTTACTGTTCTGGCTAAAGCAACAGGAGAATCTGTGCAAGACACTATTATTTTTTTTCCATACTGTGAATTATCAATATTTCGTGGGAGAGAAACAGTTGTATTAGCACAACCTCAAAACAGGCTACATGTTTTGCTTTGTGTCAGATTCTTTTTTTTTAAAGTGATCGAGCAATGATTTTTGCTTGCCAGATAAATCCTATGATATAGATTTGTAATGAAGATTGTCAGTATTTTCATATTGATGCTATATATGATGTACATTTTTATCACATTTAATGAAAAAGTTTTAAGATTCAACTGGAAATGTATGAATAAATTAATGTACACCTGTAATTGCTGATTGGAGGAGCTGGATAAAATAAACTAATATGTAGCAATCTTTATTGTTTGGTGTCTGTCAGTGTGTAGAAATATAGTTGTGAATGTGGAGATTATATTATTGTATTCTTTGGTAGCACATAAAGTATAGCACAGGGGTTTCAAGGACCCCCAGAATAGATGCACATTAGACCACAGACCCCAGTCTGAGTGGATTAACTAGTATTTGGGGGTTTTCTTTAGGTTTCAAGATTATAAAGTGTTAATAGTCAATCAATGATCAAAATGGGATGAGTATAGATTACTGTCAATATAAATGGCCAACCCTGTTTCTTTCCTTGTTTCAACTTCCAAAGAATTTATTACCATCCAACACTCAAGCCCTCTACAGGAAGGGCCAGAGTCGTCTCTATTTTCTGAAGGGCTGCAAGGCCAGTGACACTGTGGGGCTGGAGCTGGACTCTTTGACAGCGGTGTCAGAGAGGAGGATGCTGTCCAAGCCACGTGCCATTTTGGACAATGTCTCCCACAAACTGCACAAGGAGCTGGTCAAACACGAGTACTTTCAGTGCAAGACTCATTCCACAGAGCGCCACTGGAAGTCATTCCTGCTTCTGGTCATGAAACTCTTCAACTCCTTCCTCAGTGTCAGACACTCTGAGTCAGTGTCGTTAAACTGGCCCTGGAAATGTTACTGTGGTTAAGGTGCAATAATTTATTCTGTCACCAATGCTGCAATTTTTTTTAAGGATTCAGCTATTATTACTTTTTATTCATTATTCATTACACTTCTGTCATACTGTAGCATGCAAATATTTCTTTCTTCTATATACTGTATTATTTTTTCTATTTTTCTATTTCTATATATATTGTTGTTAGATAATGTAATATAACACCTATTTATTTATTATTGTTAATTTTCTTTATGTCTTGGGAGCACCTTGAGTAAGTAACGAAACCAGTTTCCCCCGGGATCAATAAAGCATCTCTAAATGTGATTAAACGGAACAGTTGTACCTTGAAGTCCACTGTGGTGTTTTAGTGCCACCTGCAGGACATTTCAGAAACTGCTTCTTTTCCTCGGGAGCGCTTGATTTGCTACAGCGGGGAAACCGGCGAACTGTTGCTCCATTCGCGTAACGGTTGAAACGTTCAAACCTCCTCAATGGTAACGTTATATTTAACCAGCCAGGTTTCATCATGCCGGCCTTAGACGGCATATGTATTTCTGTGAGCTAACTATATGACTATATGAACCCATATGGGAGGTTCGCGACCTCCCCCAGGGTGCTGTAGTCAAAACCCAGACAGCTGAGAATCACGTGACGTGACGTGTAAGCAGCATGGCGGCGCTGAGCTGAGGTAGCAACTCCACCGGACTGACACCGATAGCCTGGCTTTCGTTAGCTTTCCTTGTCACCTGCTCATTCGCAGGGCCAGGCCGAAGATGACGGCCTGAGAGAGGAGCGGTAACAAGACCGAGACATGCAGCAACAACAACAACACCGGCCACCACAGCAGCAGCAGCACTCGCAGTCAAAGGCAGAAAACAGTAAAACCAAGAGCATGTTTCTGTCCAGGGCGCTGGAGAAAATCCTCTCGGATAAGGAGGTGAAGAGAAGCCAGCACAGCCAGCTGCGCAAAGCCTGTCAGGTGGCGCTGGGTGAGTGTGTTTGTTTTGTATTTCGGCTCCCCGGGCCCCGTGTTTCATGCAGCGCTTCACTGAAATGTTTCGGTCGTGTCTGGCTGGTTGTGGGGAGACAGGGCTGAGCTACCCAGCTAGCTAGCGTTAGCGTTAGCATCTGAATGGCCTTCATCGTCTGTTCGGCTGCTCGTTGACGTTTACAGGTTAGCTAATGTGTGTGGGCGTCACTTTTACATCATATTGAAACCCAGCAGTGCTAAGGGCCTGACTTTCACACCCCCATTCTCACTGTCAACGTCGGTACGTAAACAAGCTAATAGGTAGCTGGCGTTAGCTAGTCAGGGCTAGGTTAGCTAGCTAAACAGACCAATCCCTGTGTTGTACGTAGCACTGTCACTCAGTCAGACAGTCCGGTGCTGCTCTGCACCCAGACACACAGGCTATCTAACTCCAGGAGACGTCTAACTCTGACGTCCGTGCTTTTCCACTCAACACAATCACGGATATAGTGTTACACACACACACACACACACACACACACACACACACACACACACACACACACACACACACACATCAGGTTGTTCACCTCATCGTGCTATTGCTGTTTATATTTCAGCTCCAGCCCTGCCCATTGGTGTGCACCCACCTGCACATTGTTGTTGTAATAAGTACATCAGTATGTTGTTGGTATCGAGGAGTTTAAAGCTCTTGATTCTCTGGACTGGTGTAATCAGATCCAGTTAGTTATTTGATGGTGTTTTTTTTTTCTTTTCTTTAGCACAGTGCCTCTCTCAGTCTTAATGCAGGCGATTGAGCAATTGGCAAACTAGAAGTTGTGCTTTATTATGAAGGTACAGTTAAGCTGTTTGACCACAGCGTTGACTGCAAATACAGAAATGTCACAGAGAGGTAGGCAAACAGGTCTGTGTATTTGAGCTGCTCCGTCTGCCAGTGACACTCTCTCATTATTCATGATACCAGCAGAACACAACACTCCTCTTTGACTCCTCACACTACTAGTGTAGACTTTGTTGCGTGTGTCCCATTGTCATACTGTCTGTCTGTGTGATATTTTGGTAAAGTCCATGCAAGGATCAGGAACATCTCCTCTTTCCCAGTGCCACAAACTCCCCGTTTCTCTATTGTACATAAGTTGTTGTGTTGTGGACCGCAGGCATTTTTATTTGTTGCATCCATGATGCAGTGCAAAGAGAGAGATTAGTTGTTAATAGCTGTTTTTAGGTGAAAGGCCAGAGCTTACCCTGGTGACTAAATAATTTTTTTAAAAAGAGCCTGAATATTATTAATACTGTGCTACATTTTGGTCCAGCAGTCATTTATACACAATGGAGAAAGGAACTGAGCTTGTGTTTTTCTGACATTAAATGACACGTCTTACATTAGCTACTTAAAATCTATCATCACCATAACAGCGATTGGGACATTTTGTGGTGAATATTGCACAAGCTCATTTCCTCTGCATAGCCCTGTAATATGGAGAGTTTGTGAGAGTTGAGTTTGGAAGTATTCGCTGCCACGTTGTGTGAATCTAATCGATTTGGTCGGTCACATCTGGCTGAATGCACACCATTACTTACTGCATAGCCAAGGCCGCAACGCTGGGTCGCTTGGTAGTGTGTGTGTGTGTGTGTGTGTGTGTGTGTGTGTGTGTGTGTGTGTGTGTGTGTGTGTGTACGTACAGCTTTGGACAGATCAATGTGGGATAAAAATTATGAAGAAATTGATTCAGTGAGAACAGCTTAGATAGCTGAACAGATGGGAATGTCTATGTGGGGAATGACAGAGACCAAAGATCAGAGGGAGGCTGATCAGTTCAACCAAGTGTAAGTTAGAAATAAAACATAAGGGTGGTCTCAGATTAAATCCTACTCAATACTACATGAGTATACTTTGATTAATTACATCATTTGTCTACCAGCTAAAATGCAAGGAAACACGTCTCATGTCAGATTTTTGTGATTGGCCTAGTAACCCCTGGATCTAGAGTCAAATCATGTCACACTGCTGTGAGCTGAAAGGGTCAAAGTTCAGACTCCAATAACATTTCATCTCCTGTGTCTCCTCCATAGATGAAATCAAGGCAGAGCTTGAAAAACAAAAGTAAGTACTGTTATGCACTAACGTTTCCACCTGAAAGAATGAATGAATTCACAGCAGTAGATTTGTGAGTTTTTTCCCTTTTCTTGTGACGTAAGGCAAAAAGCCGAGGTAAAGTTTGCCCTGAAGCAGTCTGCAGTGAACCCCAGCTGCTCACTGTGATTTGTGACTAAGGTGATTTGCTGCTTTTATAACTGCTGCTTTGGAGTATATCAGCAGCCCTTCAGGTAATATATCTGCCGCTATAGGAAAGCTGTTATCTTAATGCCATTATGCTTTTCTAAGCCTTTAAACATAAAGCTTAAATGCTCTGTAAAATTTTGCACAATGAAAATATGACACACAGTAAAATGTTTTCATGGCATTTTATCTATTCACATAATCTACTGGGGTTACAGTTAAGTTTCAGTGGGACCTTTAGTGTGTTTCTATATGAGCCAGCAGTGTGTTTATAGCAGGCTGCTGTAATTGGGGCTTTTCCAGTTCAAACAGCTGTCTGCTCTCCTCTCACCCCTGCAGGGATGGCACAGTGGTCCCACCCAGGGCCAACTACATCGAGGCTGACAAATATGTGCTGCCCTTCGAGTTGGCCTGTCAGTCAAAGTCCCCCCGGATAGTCAGCACCTCTCTGGACTGTCTGCAGGTTAATATTCACACACACACACACACACACACACACACACACACACACACACACACACACACACACACTGGCTTGTGCACTTTAAATAAACTACACATTTTTCTGCTTCCTTCACAACTTTCACTTTCTCACAGGAAGAATTTCTTTGGTTATAGTACCCATCTGGTGGTGGCCGGCGGTGGGGGTGAAATCTTGCTACACCTGTTCCACATGTCTAATGTGCACCTAGAACAATGGCTCTACATTCCACACGCACATGCGCACACTCCATCCGTTAATCTCTTCACTAAACTACATGTTTGTGGTCACATTTGTTATAATCCATTAAGTACAACAAGTGTGCTACTTATGGGAAGAAAGTTGAGTCTTGGGGGAGCATACACACACACATCTTCCATTATTAAGGATCCCACTGCTTTTCATGTCAACACACGCCCTGTCTAGCATTCAAGTGCCTAGTTGGCCAGGCGCCCAAGTTATCTGCCACAAAGGCTTTCTAATATGTAACTAACTGTTTCAACCCAAACCATTGTTACTGAAATATACTGTAGAATAGATTGAGGATTTCATTTGTTTTTAAAGCAAGCCATGGAGTGGCACCAGTCTTGAAAACTGACCAAAAATAACCAAGTCAACTATGGCCCAGTTTCCACAAC